CCCCCTTCACCCCCCCCCAACCCCGCCCCCATCCTTTTTCGCCCCCGGTCAGCCGAGGTGCTCCTCCTGGAACGTCTTCTTCCGGCAGATGGCGGCGCTGCTAGCCCGGCGCAGCCAGGCCTTACTCAACAAGAGCCCCACGACCCCCCCCGCCGCCGCCAGTGGCTGTAGCGGCGGCGGCGGTGGCGGCGGCGGCGACAGGGCGGCTTGCGGTAGCGTTTGCGGCGACGTGAGTATCAATGCCGGTGGCGGTGGCGGTGGCGGCAGTGGTGGCGGTGGCGGTGGCGGTGGCGGTGGCGGTGGCAACGCAGGCGACGCGAGTGGCGGACCCCCCCCCCCTCCAGAGTTCGCCCCCAAGCTGTTCGTCGTTCTGGACAACGCAGAGGCGTTGCTGAGCGAGACGGTGGCCGGCATTGGGGCGAGTTAAAAACGGGTTCTGCGGTTGTTTTTTTTGCTTTTTCTATCGTCCTGCGCGCAAGTGTTGAATTTTCGAAGCGATCCGAGACGAGCTGCTTGTATGAGTTGTGGTATGATGTTGCGGTGTGTATCTGGTTCGTAGGAGATCTGCGTCCTGCCAAGTTGTCTTGAGCTTTTAATTGTTTTTATATTCAGATTGTATGATATCTGCGTCGTTGCTGCTGTCTTGCACCTACCTTACTAGTTTGAGGGTCATGTGCAGTTTGTGCATTGGATTATGTGCTTGTTGCTACGGTTTCGTAATATTTAAGCACTTGGTCGTCGTACTGCCGCCGTTCTTGCTGAGCTGTGTGCTCGGTTACCCATGTCGCCCCCGGCGCTCTCCTCCCTCACAACAATCTGCCTCTTGATCGACGTTCGTTTGCACCAGTTCGGCGCCGCCTTTCCTTGCTATGCCTGGGGTACGACTCGCGCTTGGTTACCGACGTCAATGTTATACTACAACAATCTGCCATTCGATCGACTTTCGTTCGCGCCAGGTCGGTGCCGGGGGGGCGGGAGGCGCGGGAAACCAGTGGCGAGGCCAAGACATCCTGACCAAGCTGGCCAGCCTGCAGGGCATGGTCGACTCCCTCGCGGGCTTTGCCGGTGGGTGACGCCTAACCCTAACGCCTTGCGACCGTCTCGGTGTCTTTGGTGGTCTTTTATCGGCCTGACGCCGACGGCTGCTTGCTGCAGGGTTCGAAGTCTTGCAACTGCTGCTGCTGCTGCTGCTGCTGCTGCTGCTGCAGCTCCTGCCAGTAGCGTGTCGTGGAGTGTCCGGCCGTAAGCACCGGCCATGCGTACGAAGCATGAAAATACATGGTAGGAGAGAATATCCTCACCTCGCATGTCAGCGGTTGGGTGTGTAGGTAGCGCGCTGGGGTTTTTCCGAAACGTTTATCATGCTGCAGGGTATGTGACATTGGACGGGGCACCGCAGGTGACAAGATAACCTCTTTGCTCTTCTCACACACCCCACCTCCTTACCCTTCTTTTCGTTCTTGATTAAAGAGTCTTACTCGCGTGAAGCGAAGCAAACGCAAAACATCAATAATCGGATTTGCTCTTGGTGCAGGACTCCCTGATGCCACCGCTAAGTGGCTGCACCGCTCGTTTCATATCGCGCTCTTTTTACTATCCATAGGGGCGGGCGACGTCAACCTTCCAGTCAATCTCTCGCCCCCCTCCAGGTTCAGCTATCCCCCCCCTCCCCCACTGGTGCAACGAGTAAGCCTCCCTCCACAACAGCACGAGGTTCATTGCTATCTCATCCTCTGGACTCTTACTCTGTGGTCTGGGGATAAACATGATTTATCTTTTTTTAGGAGCCAATCGAACACACCCACGCATGCAGGCGAAGAAGCGCCACTAACGGCTACCGGCGGCGGCGGCGGCGGCGGCGGCAGTGGCCAAGACCCCCACTCCAACGCGAGCAACATCTCGGCCGCACACCGACCGTCACAATCCACACCTTTTGGAAGACATCACCACCACCATCATCATCAGCACCAGGAGCAGGGGCAGCCCCGTCTTCCCCCCATCTGCCCAATCCTGATATCTCAGAACGGGTTCTTCGCGTCGGAGATCATGGGGGGTCGGGGGGGCGGCGGCGACTGGAGGGGCGCCGGGGGTAGGAACCGATCCCTGGTGATGAACGCCTACCCCGTACAAGTCCGTTTCCCGCCCTACACGAAGGTGGAGTGCTCGCATTGATTTTGGTACCCGATAGCGACGAAATGTGTCACACCCCCGGGGTTGATTTTCAACTCCGAAGCAGAGAGAGAGAGAGAGCGAGAGAGAGAGAGGGGGGGGGGGGGAGAGAGAGAGAGAGAGAGAGAGAGAGAGAGAGAGAGAGAGAGAGAGAGAGAGAGAGAGAGAGAGAGAGAGAGAGAGAGAGAGAGAGATGACGAGAGAGAGAGGCAGTCAGAGAAAGAGAAAGCGAAAAAAAAAGAGAAAGAGAAAGAGAAAGAGAAAGAGAAAGAGAAAGAGAGAGGAGAGAGAGAAAGACG